CTCAATTGTTTCTTCTAGACAGCACTGAGTTTAATTGATGGTCAAATGGAGTTTCCCAACAAATTACTTCCCAACATATTCTTCCAAGACCAAATTATCAGAGCTATTAATGATATAAATGCCAATTTTACAGTTCTTACTGTACAACAAAAGTCTCATTTGTATCTACGGAAAGGAAATAGTGACAAGTTTGACAAGTAGCACAATTAACAACAACACTCATTTAATTACAGTTTTCAATAGTACAGTAGCTCAACTGATTTCAAAATAGTGTTGCTTTTCCAGTAAGAACTTACTTTTTACAACAACTACTATTTTTGCCACTGTTTAACAGTCAAGTGCATTGAACATATTTGTTTTTTGTCTTGTTCCGAAAATAAACCTCACTAAATTTTGTTAGAATTATGCTTTAAAAAATATAAAAATGACAATGGATAAGAAAAATTTAACTCATATTGTGTTATCTCAATATTGTGTGAAAAAATAACGTATAATAATTGTATGTACAGTATTTTGTTTTCAAGTTAATATATTTAACTAACTTAATAATTAAGAAAATTAAGAATATTACTTTGCAGTGCATTTTTTTAAAGCAGCATCGACAATAAATATCTGAGACAAAGTTTGAAAAAAAACACCTTGAAAAGATCAACATTTTCTCAAGAAAAAAAAATCACATTCAAATTGGCCATGTTTATTAACAAGACCCCCAAAACAACTAGAACTTCAAGGCATTTCTGCTCGTTTTTAATTTTTTTTTTTTTTTTTAAGTTGCCAGATTTTCATCTGCTGCCATATCTCTCCCTCTTTCTCCCAACCTTACCCAGTCTCTCTCTCTCATGACTAACTAATGACTAACTCCTGGCATTGCTGTTGTCCCTGTGGTGTTATTGGGCTGATCTGTGCTCTCTTAAGGGTGTGCTGAGAGGTTGACTCTCTAAAGCAGCAGGAGGCCCACACTTCTCTTAACCAGCAGGCTAAAGAGGTTTGTTTACTGGGTAACACCTTGGCCTGACCTCCCAGAGCCGCTGGGAGTTACTCTGTGATTAGTTCTGTGCTAGCCTGGAGCCGAAGAACTGGCGTCGGGTGAAAAGCCACTCTCTCCCCACCGCAGGGTGAATGCTTGTGCAACTCGTGCTGTAATCAATCACCCTTTCTACCTCCGACATACCGCACATATACACATCCACCGGGAGAAGGATGGGGCCTCCTAAACTTGTTGCTATCTTTGTCGCTGTGCCTGAAAAGCTGCATGATTTTATTTAGAGTCGGCCTTTGACTCGATAACAGGAGATTAATTGTCGCTGTTGCTTCGCTTTGTCCCCAATGGGTCTTTGTGGCTTTCGGCGCACAGAGAAAGGATATACTCAGGTCTGTGTGTGTATGTGCTCAAGCATGATTTGCTCTTTTCGCTCCTGGTCCGCTACTGTTTGCCACTCGGCCCCTGTGGACAGGGGGCTCATTATTGCAATGTGTATTCACATCTTCCACCTTTTGCCCAGGGTTCTCCTTCTCTTTCACTTTGCTGCTTTCTCTTTACAATGAGATTCTTACAATGAGATTTCTGTGACAAGCCTAACACCTTCTCCTCTGGCGTCCCTGTTGGCCTAAAACTGGGCTTCACTGACCTATCTCTGCCCTCCCATCAAGACAAGAGACTTCAGAAAGAAAAATCACAAAATTTATTTTTACAGTACTTTTTACAGTGATTTTATATCTCAATGGTTTCTCCAAGACAGGAGTGATGGGATTAAAAAGGAGATCAAATGAAAAACAGATCTCTGCAATTAAGGCTGCATGATTAATCAAAATCCAAAATTGTGATATGGCTTAATGCAATGATCAAATCACAAAGGCTGTGATTTAATTAAATAAACACATATGCTGTAAAGAGAATCTTTAAGGGCTGCTCCCTGTGGCTTTCTGCCAAAATAAAAGCATGTTTTTATGGTTTGAAAAAATATAAAATTAAGTATTAAATAATAGTATTGTCATTTTGAAGTTGTACTGTAAAATAAAAGGTTTTTCATATACTCATATTACAATAGTATTATTTCTTATTTCATTTATTAATTTAAGTGATAATCATAATAGCTGTTTATTAGTTGTTGTTGTTATTTTATAATAGTATTGATATTGTGCAGCCATACAAACGAGCACAGAAAACCTGTGAAGAAAGCTTTTTTATTTTAATGATTTTTTTTCATTATTTTTAACTGCAATTAAAATTATCATCAAAAATTGCTATTAGATTTTTTTCTCTAAATTATGCAGACCTTATTAACAATGTTTGTTAGAAAAAAAAAAGATTTTTTAACACAAATCTCACATAAACCTGTTATCCACCTTCATTTTATAGCTTCATATTTTTGCTTTGTCAACAATTTGTGTCTCTTTTAAAGGGGTCATATGATGCTATTTCAAGTTTTCCTTTCTCTTTGGAGTGTTACAAGCTGTTTGTGAATAGATAAGATCCCTAAAGTTGCAAAGACTAAAGCCTCAAAACCAAAGAGATATTCTTTATAAAAGTTAAGACTCGTCCACGCCCCCCTAAAACACCTCGTTTAAACACGCCACCACATGTCTACGTCACTGTGTGGGAAGATTTGCATAACACCGCACAAATGTTCACTCAAAGAAAGAAGGCCTAACTTTCATTCTCGCTGTAGTATTGTTGTTGCCGCCGCCGCCATGTCGTGGAGACGCTGTGTTTCGTTGTGAAAGCGAAACTACTTTGTTTGGTCTTCCAAAAGAGGACACAACTAGAAATCAGTGGTTAAGTTGTATTTACAACACTGTTCCAGAACAGTGTGCAACGCATTTTATGGAGGACTGTTTCCTGGGAGAGTAGCCTACAATGCTGGTATTCTGGTGAATTCAGTTCCTGTTTCCCCTTCGGAGCGCATGCTGACCCTATACAGTCTATGATGCTGACAAATAATGCTGACTCACAGCCTGTAAGTACGTTTTCATATTTAAAGGATTTGCCACTGATGATTCAAACGCGAGTTTTGAGCAGTGTAGAGTAGCGCTTGTTGTTTGTCATTTCTCTGATCACAAATGCAGACATGGTTTTATGTTTACGCGGCACAATGCAACGCAATGCGTAAAAAGACAGTATAAGTCATTATAATCAGTAATTATGTCCCCACTGGATGCAACAAATCCCTCGTTTATAATGGGTTTTATTGGTTTTGTCTCGTCGCGCCGGCACACGGCATCACAGTATGGTAAGGGGCGTAACATTTCCGTCACACGCTTGAGGAATTCGGCCAATCACAACGCACTGGATAGCTGGCCAATCAGAGCGCACCTCACTTTTCAGAATGATGAGCTTTGTAAAAATCTATGTGTTTCAGAAAGGTGGGGCATAAAGGAGAAACAATAATGTACAGTATGTGGAAAATAATGTGTTTTTTGAACCTTAAACCGCATAAACACATTTCATTACACCAAATACACAAAATAATGTTCTTCTTTAGCAACGTCATATGACCCCTTTAATTCTCTGAAAGAAATCTGAAAGAAAGAGCCATAATTCGAGACCTCGAAAAAGTCTCTGGAGCTTAAAGGGGTGGTTGACTGTTTTTTTTATAGGCTTGATTGTGTTTATGGGGTGCAGTCTAACGTGTTAATGCTTCGTTTGTTAAAAAACGCATTATTTTTTTTTATTTACCTTTATTCCACACCTCTCTGTCCCTTCTCCTCTGAACGCACTGATCATTTCATGCTTTTATGAAGCCCCTGCCTCAGAAATACACGATGGGCTCTGATTGATTAGCTGGCCCAGTGTGTTGTGATTGGCTAAACCGCCGCTAGCGTGCGTCTAATCGTCCCGCCCCTCAACATAGCGGCATGTGCTCCGGTTGTATTGTAAACAGTCGTCTATATTGCTTATCAGTTTGAGCCCGATTGAGACGCAGAGGATATTATTAAAGAGGATCGCGCAGAACCTGTGCAAGCACAGCTTTTAATGGTAGGCCTAAGATTTTAGTTTGTTGTTGTCTCATACTTTTAGACACGCTGTTATTTGTAAATGCTACTGCTTCTGTTAGCTTTTAATATACAGTTTTATTCTGATTAAAGCTTTAATACAGTTCGGCAACCACATGCGCGTCCATGTATAACGCTTCTCATAACTATAGTATGTGAAAATAAGTGTATTCACTGAGCTGATGATATGAATGAGAGAGAGAGAGAGATGCAGAGCGTGTGCAGAGCAGGGCGAGGCCAGGAACAGGATGAGAACTGCTGCTTTAGAACATTGATTTTGAAACTTGTGAATCGATTAGAATCGTTAGAAGACAGAATCGCGATTCATATATGAATAGATTTTTACGTGCACCTCTAGTTTTCTCTTCCTCTTCTCTAAAGCATGAAGAGGCCTCGCCCCCTTTGCTGTGTGTTCCCGGAGGCGGGGTTTATGTAAAATTCTGGGTTCTTGACGTAACGGACCCGGGAAGTAACTCGTTGTAATCCCTTACCAGTCGTTTTTGTAGGCATTAAACTGCCAGAATTTTAAAAGACGATATCTCCATTTGCATTGAACTTTCAGCTTCGTAAATTTGCAGATATTGTTTATGATCAAACAGCAACATTACACACTAACTAACATTAAAAAAGTGAAATCGCAATCAACCACCCCTTTAAAAAGAGCAGCATATGGATATTCAACAGATTCTTCCTGCATCTCCAACATAAGAAAACAAGTGCAGATCTTTTTGTTATTTTTATTCAAGGTAAAGCCAAATGGAACATCATTTATCCACAAGGTCAAGTGGGTCATTTTGAAAATGATCAGCACAAGGTTGTTAAAACCCTAGTACAACAAACAGCAAATACTGTCTATGAATTTCCAGGAAAAATGGACTTCAGAAACTGGAGGTCAAGCTCATTCAACGCTAAACACAGCAGTCGAGTGGGCAAAATCTCAACTGATAATCTGTTTCCGCTAATGCTTCCCATTAAAGTTAATGTGTATATGTTTGTATGCAACTCACCAATATGGCTGCGATGTGTTGAGGCCAGACTCAGCTGACCCCAGAGAGACAGCAGACAGATGCCCAACAGCAGCAATCTCCTGCCCACACGCTGCAGCTCCCGCTCCCGCATCCTACAAACACACACACGTGTTTATACTTAAGAGAAGAAATTAACATATGATTCATTGATATATGGGAAATAACAGTCAGTAAACAACTAATTGATCTTAAATACTCTATCAAACACATGGATATAAGTACTATGGTTTAATAATCCTATCAAATGGTAAAACTATAGTGCTTGATATGATGGAAACGGGGGCTAGTTGTCACATAGGCTGTATTCAGACTGCAGGCAAATTAATATTTTTTTCTTAAATCAGAGCTTTTCAGTCAGACTGTCCGTATTATTAAAGTGCAAGTGATAAAATCAGATTTATGTGTCCAGACATAACCAACTTATCAGCATGGACTGCTTTGGTTATGATGCAGGTGCTCCCACATTTTTTGATGAGGCTTTCAAAACAGATGCAGGAAAAATAGAGATGCATCATCGCAATCACCAAATAAGCACCTGTCGAGTCACGGTGCAGAACTCCAGAAAAAAACAGCGACGGAGGAGACTGGTATATATTGTAATGTTCTGACTTCGGCTTCGTTTGAATACTGTATGAATACTTCTGGCATTTCCGTCACCGGTTTTGATGATATCATTGTGTGTTGCGTTAAAAGTGATGCAAAAGACGACTTGAAATCTGATTTGAGAAGCCAGAGCATCTAGAATGAGATGCATGTGTAAAATTCTGATTTAAATCTAAATGTAGTTTGAATCAGATTTGAAAAAATCTAATTTCATGGTTTTTTTTTTTGTTTTTTTGTTTTTTTGGCTGTCCAGACTTTGAAAAACCCATCTGCATAATTTGTCATACAGTCTTATATTGGGGAAGGTTGTCAGATAATTTTTTTAATTATATAATTCATCATTCAATTTATTAATCACAAATCACTGTTTTGATAGCCAAAACAGTGGTTTGATATTTCTGAATGTTACATTTACATTTTCATTGTTTCATCAATTGTATTACAGTTCAAAATTTAACTGAAAAACCTGTTAACCTGTCACTGTGACAACTTACGTCATATTGTGTAAATTATCCGGTCATGTTGTAACAAAAGGTCATGAAACTGCAATTTTGATTTCTAGTTCACTTTAATGTAACACCATGCCACTTATCTGAAGGGAAACATTCTCATTTTACCCTATTTGCCAAACAAAACATTTTACAGTTTCCTCTAATTGGCTCAAACACCCAGAAAATAGCCCATTTACCATGTAAATGTCAGACCAAATATCGCATTTTATTCTGAAATACAGTCAGCATAGTCAGTCAAACGAATGACTCCGAAACACAACATGATCCATAAATCCTCAAAAAGCGAGATCGTTTAGAACACTGCAGACACGATTCCAAACAGCCATTAATTTCCTCAAATATCAGCCATCCTTCAAATGCCTTAGCGAGTGACACAATCTCGCTCTTTGGCGGTGGTCCGCTCTTGTCTGAAAAACGCAGTAATCTTGATATACTATCAGAGGCTGCGGGCCAGTAATTCCCTCTCTGTCTTTGAGGGGTCCGGAGAGACCAGAACACACAAAAGCAATCATTGTGCCACCACGCCAAGCTTGTGTTCTACTTGTGGAGGGAGGACAAGCAGTATCACAGCCATCTTTTCATGTCTTTTGCCAGCATCCCTCCTCAAATTACAGCAAAGGTGGGCTTCATATGAGGGGCTGTGAGCCTGCATATTTGGCAGAGACTGTTAGGCTTTCATGCATATGTTCAGTATTCAGTCTGACTCTGGAGGTTTCTTTGTCCTTCATTACTCTACGCTAAAAGAACACTGGTTTGGTTTTTGTGGCCGCAGCAGAAGCATGTGAATAACCCAATTTGAGGATTTGATTAAGGCAGGTGTTTTATGAATCAGTACTATTGGATTTGAGGAAATCTGAGTTGCATTTTGCAAGCCAAAAAAATATTTTAAACATATTAATGAACACTACATCAATATATACATATATAGTAGAATTTGATTTCTACAGAGGTGCTTACACATGCAAAACTGACTGCCACAATGTCTGGGTGGTTGCTAGGGTGTTGTTATGCAGTTGATAAGGCAGATTTCTTTTAGAATGCTGTTAATCGTTTGCCAGGTGTAAACTGTCAAGTCTGAGTAACAGCACAGCTCTCCTTAACAAGCCACACAATCTGAGGTAACATTCATGTCTTTAACAAAACTACATCAGACTCTAAACTTCTAAGAGAAACAATAACAGTGAAGTACACAAAAAATGAAATCTGCGCTTTTTTAAACTTGATTAGAAAACGCAAGTCTTTGCACACAATGTCAAAGCCTCATAAGCATCATTCATCAAGCCGACGTCTTTTCTTTCTCTCTTTCCCTCGTGCTTTCTTCCTCCCGCTCATACGCACAATTAGCCTCTCTGCCTGCAATAACCGCACAAAGCCGATGGGGTTCACGAGCTTATGAGGTCGTTGACAAGTCACTGGAGTTGAGGTATTGAAAACACACACACACTGTAAATAGCTGACGTCGCCCTGCAAGCACCCAAAGGGCTTGCGCGTATTGATTGAAGAGAGACATGGGTAAATAGGAGCCAAAGAGGTCAGAATGTTTTTTGTTTTTTTTTACAAACCCAAGTGTGCAACAGCCCTTTCCTGAGTGGACATGTTTTGGTTTAAGGGCAGAGCAAACCTTCAATTGCATTTTAACGTGTTAAGAAACAAACAATGTAGTCTTTGACAAGCCCCCATGTCATCCAATCAAATCCTCTGCTTCAAAACACGTGGTCTTATTATGGGTATGATCGAGGTATCTTGTTATTCATTTGGTCATTATGGCTATGTTCAAATAAAATACTATGCATTATATGCTGTAAGGTATTTAACATAAAAAATAGTATGTGAAGCCATACATTACGCAACAGTAAACGTTTCAAACAGTAGTATAATAATTTGCATACTGTGCATAGTATACATAATATACAATGCATAAACAGTAAATGTATACAATATTGTTGAAAAGTTTGGGGTCGGTAAGCTTTTTTTCTAAGAAATTAAAACTTTTATTTAGCAAGGATGCATTAAATTGATCAAAAGTGACAGCTAAGACAATACAAACTGTTACAAAAGTTTTATTTCAAACTAATGCTGTCATTTTGAACTTTCTATTCATCAAAGATTACACAAAAATATAAAGAAGCACAACTGTTTTCAACATTGATATAATACAAAGTCTTATTATGGGTATGATCGAGGTATCTTGTTATTCATTTGGTCATTATGGCTATGTTCAAATAAAATACTATGCATTATATGCTGTAAGGTATTTAACATAAAAAATAGTATGTGAAGCCATACATTACGCAACAGTAAACGTTTCAAACAGTAGTATAATAATTTGCATACTGTGCATAGTATACATAATATACAATGCATAAACAGTAAATGTATACAATATTGTTGAAAAGTTTGGGGTCGGTAAGCTTTTTTTCTAAGAAATTAAAACTTTTATTTAGCAAGGATGCATTACATTGATCAAAAGTGACAGCTAAGACAATACAAACTGTTACAAAAGTTTTATTTCAAACTAATGCTGTCATTTTGAACTTTCTATTCATCAAAGATTACACAAAAATATAAAGAAGCACAACTGTTTTCAACATTGATATAATACAAAGTATTTCTTGAGCAGCAAATCAGCATATTAGAATGATTTCTGAAGGATCATGTGAGTCTGAAGACTGGAGTAATGATGCTGAAAATTCAGCTTTGCCATCACATGAAAAAATTACATTCTAAAATATATTCAAATAGAAAATAGCTATTTTAAATTATAATAACAATACACTACACAGACTAAAATACTGAAGAAATAAGCATGGTATACTTTTCAAATGATCCAAAACCCATCTTTCCTTTGTGGACCCACAATTCTCTGCTACCTCTAAGGCAGTATGACTCACTTTTAAAGCATATAAACACATAAACCAGAGGGAGGAAAGAACCAACACGTTATTAAGCGGCTTCTCCCCTGACTCATCATCTCACTCCAATATGTGTAAAACACTACACACCTAAGGGACACCAACGACAGCAGCTGATTGACAGCATTAAAGACACCAATGAAGGCATTTTATAAAATATTCAAAGAAGAACAAGCATTAGGAGTAAAAGTGCAATTGCCAAACCACTCAAACGCAATAAAGCGAGTGAATGAAAAAAAACACTCCTCCACCTGTTTTCCCCAAGAAGAGTGAATCACTTTCAAACGAGCAATCCAGCCCACCACGGCTGGCTAATTAGTCCCTTTGGAATGCCCCTCGTGCAGATGGCAAGATGTCTGACATATTTATTTTGGTCCTTCACGGCAAATCTCTCCTTTCTCCAGTTCTCAAACTCACCCTCTTCGTCTGAACGGAGGCGGTAAATGCATTTAATCCTGCAGATGTAGAGTCATACAAGTTCTCCAGACCCGCTTGACCTTGCTGCGTGGATGTAAGTGCGCTCATATGAAAGAAGTGAAGAGAAAACAAAATTACAGAGCCGCCCAGGTAGGCGCGTTTCCCCACAGGGCTCGAAGGAACCAGGCACGCGAGACGCACGTCTGCCAGCTCGCCAACCGCAGGAGTGCAACTTAAGATCTAGACATCTGCTGGGTGAAGTGGGGAATCAAAGATGGAGAAGGTCTGAAAGGAAAGAGAGAGGGATAGAAGTGTACAGAGGAAGAAAGGAGGGCCTCAGGTGTAGTTATGGGTCCACAGCAGCATTGATGGGCCTTGACAAGCAAGAGCCAGGAGGGGAAAACAGACGTTTGGGCGCTAGGCAATTTCCACAAATAGGATTCAAAATGGGTCTGAAGTACTGTATTAGTTTCCTTTTTCTACAAATGCTCACTCAAACGAGATACTTAACCTTCAAAACATGTTGTTCATCAAAATAAATATTATATTAGCTGTTTTATTTTCTATGAGGGACCCTATTAGCTTGTTGTTCAATTTAGGATATTTAAATGCAGAGGCAGGGGGTTATTTCATGAATGTTATATTTG